AACAAATAAAACCCCAACTATTATATACCATTCGATAGAGAATTTCACGAGCTACAAAATGGTATATAAAACATAAAGAAACAAGAAGATTAACTCACCTATTGTAAGGGTAATTAAACGCGAATTGGTTCTGTTTGTGTCCGCACTCTAATTGAGCCACAATTCGAGCTCTGTCTTTCGATCACAGCGATGATAGTTCGAGGTTTTTTGAGTCGGAGAACTCCAATCTAAGCTCCGTCTGTCTTGAAATCCTATTGGTTGAGCAGTAACCAATAGAAATCAAGTTATAGGAAAAACGACTTTGTTAGGGTGAATCAAGGCGAAGAGTTGAAATCTGAGCTCTATTCACATCTAAATCCTATTGGTTGAGCAGTAGCCAATAGAAATCAAGTGTTTATAGAAAAGATTTGCCAGGATAATTCTTACGTCCACATATTCTAGGATCTCATTTGTCTCATTCACTTTTCGAAGTACACATAACACTCGGATTTAAATCCGAGGTTTCCACATTTATTTATTCAGTTATAAACTAGCATTGAATTCCGATTAAATCACTGATAATTTTAGAAATTATACAAACTGTACCATTTCGTGCGGATCTTGGTATCCAGAAAGTGATATCTACTTCTTCTCATCTAAAAGCCGAAAACTAATCTAAAAAACTTAGAAATACTTTTAAAAATATTCATCTAATTTATACAAATATTTGTCATGATTAATTCAAAAGCAGTCGAAATTTTATTGCTATTCATATTATCTTAGGACGACTACTTAGTCAAAAATTAAATTGAAAAGATGATAATCAGTTTAGATAAACGCCTTTAAATCCATTTAGGAAAAATATAATCCTAAAGTTCTGTGTACACTTTCATACAAGATGAATTCTGTAAATTCAGATAAGATTACTTAATCCGAACTTATTGTTCAATCATTTTATAAGACTTACAGAAGAAATATTCCGTATAAAATGGTTCATGCTTTCGTGAACATCAAACGCCACCGATGCTAATCTGATGTTCTCCTACTAAGAGGAAAGCTTAGCATAATTTTCCAAAATGCTTTTTAATAAACAAATTTATACAAATAATATTAACTACATATTATGATTTAATATTTTGCACTCTCAATTTTATTCATAGTTTCACAACAACATACATATCTTTCTCTATGTACCCATTATCATATGGTTGTCTTTCTAAAAACACATCATCGTTATGAGTATTGTTGAGATATTTGATGAATAAAAAGAATTAGATAGCAATTTGAGGTTTCCTTTTCAGTGGTAATAGCTATGCACGATCTGATAAAACAATTGAGTAGCTAAAAGAATTCTTCATCAGGACTGATGGACCTAAAAGCTTCAATAATACTGCTGTTGGAATGAGAATGTTCGAGAAAATCGAGACCTCAAAAAACAGTTATCTGGTATCTATTTGAAGCTTTTTATTCGATGAAGTAACATCTCATTTTGTTCTATCGACCCAAATTATTTTCGAAAAAGCTTCAACCAAATGTCATGAAACTGGTTTTTGAGATCTTGGTTTTCACGAACACCCTCATCCAAGCAGTTTTATTGAAGTTTTTTAGATCCACCAATCCTGATGGAGGATCCTTTTAGCCATTCATATGTTTTTTCAGATTCCGCATAGTTATTACCATTCAGAAGAAAACTCAAAAATACAACTGCTCTAAACTTATGTTCATCACTATACAGCACGCATTCGTTAAAAGTTTCATATTTCGAAGTGACTTTGTTCAAAATTTCTGAGTTTTTTTTTTTCTATAGAAGCTATTCTAGTTAGGATCTCTATAACATAGGAAACACTATTGCTTTTTTTTCACGACGTGTAAAATTATTATAGATCATTGTGTTATGACAAAACAAGTCGATTGTATTTTTCCTTGTTCTCTGTTGTGATTCATGTCATACACTATCATGACACTCTTTAAAATTTACAAGCACGCAAAAACATTACCTACTACGCTCATTCAATTTAAAGAAACAAAAAACAAAACGATATGAATGAAAAATATCCATCAAAATTTATTTTTGATAAATTTCCATCAAAAAGTGATATTTTTCTTTTATATGATAATAATAATCAATCTAAATTATACCGTCATTTGAAACAACTTAAATCGAATAACCATGGTATTTATTTGATTCCAACATCCGAAAATGCTATTGCTATAAATCTTTTATTTATACTTGATCAAATCAATGATAAATATAATGATTTTATTCTTGTTTTTTGATTATAATCCAATTTATGAAGATATTTGTAAAAGATTAATTGAAACAAATATACAATTAAAAAATCATATTCAATTTCGTTGTTTTGATCATTTAAATGAATTTACACAATTTTAAAATGAAATGACAAATTTACAAAATGAAAGTAAAAAAAAAGAAAATCAAACAGAATTTATTGTTATTAATCATTCAAAAGAAAAAACTTTTTCATTCTTGTCCATTTGAAACAAAGCAACAATCATCATATTCATATCGTTTTGGTTAATTACTTCAGCATCTTGATACTGAACATTCAAATATTCATTATGTATATTGTTTAGAATCCAAAGAAATTGTCGAAAATAGCAATTCATTAGATAAAAATGAACATTGAGGACAAAATAAAGGATTTCAATTATTCATATGACCATTACAATAATATTTTTAATTAAACATTTTTTTTTTGTGTGTTGAAGTCATTAACTTTTTCGATTGATATTGTGTTGACATTGTTCAGGTGTTATTATCAATTTTATGTATTATTAAAAATCTCACAAAACAAAAAAATTCTAAAAATATAACAATACAATATTCAGACAGTATTGCTATTAATGTTTGAAATTTGATATCAGTAATCATTTTTGAATATGCTATTTAACGATAATTACTCACTTATCAATGTACAATTATTACATTGTTGAATGACAATGATCAAGAATATGTGTACACCAACTGAGAATCAATGAAGGATAGTTAATAACAGATTGTAAAAGAAAATTGCTAATGGGTTGTATAAAAGAAACTATTATTCATCATTTTCAATAATTAGAATTTGTGTGAAATTTTTTTGTTTTCTTTTTCTCTTTGATAAAATGAGTAATATTTTAATGAATGTTCAAAAGATGACTATTGATACTAATAGAAGGACATTTTTGCTCATGTCCTTGTTAATATGATGTATATGATTTGTAGTCATGTGATTCATCATTTTTGATTTTATCTTTCTTTAGTTTTATGATTGTTATCTACATATATTTATTTTATTAATTGATTCAAAGTGTTCGTTGATTGACAGAAACCAATATTTTGTATTTACTTATTTGTTTTTTTTTCTTTTAGAATTCTAAAGAACAAGGATTCTTTAGATTTTATTCAATAAAAAAAAACGAGATAAATATATGACCAAGGACGGCTGTTTTATCTGATATTTTGTTACGATTAAAATAAAAATGATGATTGCAATAAATTATATGGTTAATAATTGTTCATCGATAGAAATTTAATACTATGGTAAATTTATTATATAATATAAAAGAGAATAATAGTATTAATCAAATCTATATCAATAAAATAATTAATATCTTTCCATTGGTTTCAACCTTGAATAAAATTCTTTTATTTTTGTTTTTGTAATCAGACATGTTATTCTACCTGTTACAGACAGTATAATAGATAAGAATTTTTGTAGACTTGATAAAATTCTACTGTAATGGAGAAAAGAAAAATGAAGATTTTCAAAATAAATAAACGAGTTATATACAGATAATGCATTCACATATTTCTCGATTACTTGAGACGATAAATTAAATTAAAGCTGAAACTTATCCTTCTATTTTATTATAAGAGATATAGACTATTGTTCTAAATATGATGAGATACAAAAAGAATCTCACAAACTATATCTTCGGTAGATCACAATCATTTCATTTTTCTTATCATATAACTTCAAACAAATGACATTTATCAATAATAATAAAAGCAAGTCATATGAAAACTTTTCTGAAAATGTTATTTATTTTTACTGGTTTTTTTTTTGCTTCTATTTTCATCATGTGTATGTCATCAAAACAAATGTCATATTTGTTTATATGAAACTATGACAGATTTTATTTTCTTCCTATTTAAATTATCAAAGACAATAAAAAAAAAAAAAAAAAAAAGAAACCAGTTAGTCATCGTTTTATCACAATTATTCATTATTATTATTATGAATACGTTTGTGTTTTATTTTTGTTTTAATATAAAGTCAATAAAAAAAAAGAAATTATTTAATCATTTATAAACAAAACGATAACTCGCTTTTGAAAAAAAAAACAGAAGTTAGAATGATATGTGTGAATGATACAATATTTTAATTTTCGTAGATAAGAAAATATTTAATATAGCCACTTAGATATCTGAGTTAACACATTGATTCATGACATGTTTGTCCTATTTCTATATGAAGAAAATCATCATTTTTTTTTTGTTATTAATTATTTCTTAATAGATAGAATACTAACCATGTCGATATTGTTCAAGTTGAGATGAAAGACGAATTGATAAAGGACGATTATTACGAATAAAAGATAATTCAGCATTAAGTTGTGAATTTTCCGTCTAAGATGATTGAATAATATAATTAAAAAAAATTTTGTTATTTTTCTTTCTCTTACTTCAAGAGCATTAAAAGCTAAATGAAGTTGTTCAATATCAGTTTGTAATTGTCCAAGAAGTTTTGATTGATGTTGTCTATTTTGTAATTCTTTTTCAAGTTCAATTAATTTTTGTTGTAAAATTTCACGTCGACGACATTCTCGTTCGTATTTTGCCTTTAATTATAAAAAAGAAGAAAAATTCTTTCGTTTTTCTTTTTTTTTGTGTCATATGAAAATAAATCTGTCCTTGTACTACTAACCTTCCACTGCGATTCTTGTTGTTCGATGTCCTTCAATTGTTGTTCCAGTTCATCAATTTTTGTCTGTTTACTATTTAGTACTTGAATAAGTTCACTCGTGACAAGGTTTTGTTCGTCATTTTTCTTTTTTAATATTGTATCATCATCACGTGTCGGAATCATATCTGTAGGAGAAGCCTATTGAAAAAAACCGATTTAGTTGTTGTTTTGTTTTCAAGAGAAAAAAAAATTCTTGACTAATCCTACAGTTGTAAGATAATTATCATGTAAAGCTGCATCTATTTGTGTACGAAGTGCATCAACCTAAACAAAAACAAAAAAAAAAAAGATATTTGATCTTTTGATATGAAATTAAAAAATTATAAATTATACTTTTCGTCTCATACGTCGATAACGAAGACTACCATTTGGATCAGATGTTGAAACACGACTACTAGCTGATTTACTTCGTGTATGAATTGGTTTTTCATTTGAATATTCATTTGATAATTCTGTAAGTTTTCGTCGAAGACGAACTGCTGATGGTTCGTTCTCCATAACCATATTCTACGAAAAAAAATTGCTATGTAATATAAGTCATTTATCAAAGAAGAAATCGAAGGTTAGATTGTGAATGACAAGCAAACCAATGAATGTTAAGATCAGATACAACTAGGGACATCTTTAGTTTTTTTTCTATCAGCAATGTTAAAGTGTAAAATTTACTAAAAAAAAGATTTAAAAATATTGGAATTTTTCGAATTATTTGAAAGATTAATTATGTGTTGGATTGATAACAATTGTCATGACTACGACTGTTGTACAAGAAGTTCATTTTTCGGCGCATGAGACTATGATTAAATTTATGCTAAAAACGATTAGGCACCTGCAAAATCCCCTTCTTTTTCATCCCAGTTCCACTCCTAGTTAAAGATTTTTGCTAATCCTGCTGAGAGTAAGCATTACGATCACGGAGCGTCCCGAGATCACCAAATCGATCATAAAAAATGAAATAAAATACGCTGAAACTTCGGTAAGATTGGTGGAATGACCTGTCCCTCTCTACTTGGCACACCCTTGATTATGACAATCGTAAATAGTCATATACAGTCGAGTACAGTGTAAATTATGATCGTATTTCGCAGTGGCGAATCTAGGATTTTTATGATGGGGACAATCATAAAACGTGTTTTGATGCTCATCAGAGGTAGTATTAGCTCGTTTTTAAACGTTTTCTGCTAGCGAAAAACCGATAAAAATCTTTAGGAAGAGGATCGATCGCCCTTGTCTAAATTCGCTACAGGAACTGGATGTCTTTGTCTGAGCTAGGATTTTTTTCAAGATTCGATCATGAAATTGAAGAAATTCTCTCGGGACTCTTAGCTTTTGAATACATATAAAATATATATGAATGATTTTGAATCAATGTTACTTCAATAGTTGATTTGAATGTATAAGAATTTAGGATCTACAGAATGTAGGGTTAATATTTTTCGAACTAGTC